TATAAATTATTGATTTCAGAGAGGGAGAGAGAGAGAAAGAAACATCAATGATGAAAGAGAATCATTGATCAGCTGCCTCCTGCTTGCCCCACACTGGGGATTGAACCCACAACCCGGGCATGTGCCCCAACCAGGAATCAAACCGTGATCTCCTGGTTCATAGGTTGATGCTCAACCACTGAGCCACGCCAACCAAACTGTCAGAGAACTTTTTATTGGGGTTTCAGGTACTACTAATTAGCTCTACTAATAAAAGGAACTTGATTTTCTGCCTCACTACCATCACAGCATGCTGCCTCTGGAACTGCATGTAGGGGTCCCACCCTCACCAGAAGGGACCCTGTGTGTTCCTGGCTCCTTTGAATCACTAGTTTCTGATTTAAAATCGGGGATAGGTGGATCTCATTAGCAGTTATGTCCTATGCCCTAGCTATAGGAAGTGAGAACGAGGTTATCTGGAATGTTTCACTGGGATGGATGAAATATAAGAGGGCAGTTCAGATGCTGGACAGCTGATAAGAATAACAAAGGTGCCCTATTCACTGATTCAAAAAACATTTATTAAGCACTCACTAAGCCAGTCTTCCTCAGAGAGCTCTTGGGGAAGGGTGGCTGCTCCAAGGCAAGATATTCTGAGGTTCCTTAGATATATTCTACACACTCCTGAAACCAGTAGAACCCTTTCAGAGCCAATAACAGCAACAAGTATTTACCGAGGGATTATTACATGCATTATTAATATAATTTCACCTAAATAATCTCACTTAATCCTCAACAACTCTAAGGTAAATATTTTTTATCTCCTTTAAAGCAGTGAAGTATGCTTACAGTTAGATTAACTTGCTCAGAGTCACATAGCTAATCATTGTATGCTAAGATGCAAACTGTTTGATGCTAGAGTTTCCATTTTAACCCTATGCTGTCCCTTTTCACAATAGAAATGAACTGTTGGTGGCCGTACATGTCTGAAATAAACTGTGTATCTAGTGATATCCTTTTATTCCATTTATCTGTTGCTGCTGATGGGCTGTCTCTCTGTCAAAGCAACATGAATGGGCTCATCTCTTCTCTGTGCCTCCAGCATTGAAAGAAGATAGGCAAGTCTTGTGGCATCCTCTCAAAGCAATCTGGTCTTGTTTTTGAAAGTGACTAGAGCAAGAGCCAATAAAATCTCCCAAATCTATGGAAATAAAAATGTATTTTCCTTTGTGTGCCAAGGCAAAATTGATCCATAAGCCAGGAGGACATGTGCTTTGAGTTGTTAATGGCAGTAATGGACTGTCCTGAACAACCCATAGAACCGCTGGCAAAATAGCTGTTTTAACAGTCTTGGCCTTCATTCAGTAGATGCGTATGGAACACATTTTATGCCAAGCACTCTGCTGGCTGCTGAGTTTACAAACAGGAAAGGCATTCCTGATGTCATGAAGTTCAGGGTCTTCTGGGGAAGAGACAAGGAAAGCAAATAGTACAATGTGAAGTGATATGTGTTGAGGTAAGAATATCAGGGTATTTTGGCAAGAAGGAAGTCACTCTAACTCAAACTGAGCAGGAGGAGGATTAAAACAATACTGAACCTGAAGCACAAGCAGGAGTTAAGTGAAGAAGAGAGGAGGAGACCGTCCAGTGTAAAGAACATGGTTTGTTCAAGCGTCTGGAAAGGCTGATAGATAAAGCATATGGAGGGAGCAGGGAGAGGTGGGCAGGAGACAAAGTGAAGGGGCCTGTGTGACCAGCTTGCTTGCTGGTTTGGAGCAGTTACAGTGTTCCTCTGCTGTGCAGTCATGGAAACCCTACCACAAGTGGCCCACTGGGCAA